TTCCCTCTCATGAATCTCAGCCCTGATTTGTATGATTTATTTTTCTATTAGTAGGATTGTCCTGTTGAATCTGCTCTAATTGCTGTACATTTTATGGCAGCATATCAATCATAAATCTCTTCCTATTTCATGTGTGCATGTATTGCTATGAAACGGCCTCTGATAACTGCCTTTGTTGTGTACCATAATTTTTTGTACATCATGGTCTCCTTCTTGTTGGTTTCCAGAAACGTCCTAATTTCGTCTCTGATCTGGGTCAGTACGCACTCCTTTTACAATAGATAGTTATTCATGCTCCAATTGTTTGCCCTTCTTTTCTTCATCTTCCATTTGTGGATTTCCAGTCTTATGACACAGTGGTCAGAGAGAGAGGTCTGTATGATATCATTTTGCTTAAATTTATGCAGATTCAACCTATGTCCCAGCATGTGGTCTATCATTGAATATGTGCCATATGGGCTTGAAAAGAAGGTGAATTGGTTTGTATTTGGTGAAGAATTTTGTAAATATCTATCAGGTCAAATTGTCTCATTGTAGTGTTTAGATCTCTAATCTTCCTGTTTAGGTTCTTTCCCTGTGATCTATCTTTGTCAGAGAATAGTGTATTGAAGTAATCTACTATAATTGTTGACCCTGTGATTTCTTTTTTCATCTTTTGGGGCATTTGGTTGACGTATTTAGCGGGTCCCTCGTTTGGGGAATATATGTCTAAAATGCTTAGTAGTTCTTTGTTTACTATTCCCTTAAGCATTATATAGTGTTCTCCCTTATCTCTTTTTATAGTTTTCACTTTGAGGTCAATTTTATCTGAGATTAGGATGGCAATCCCTGCTTTTTTGAATTGCTGTTTTCTTGGTGTGTTTTTCTCTAGACTTTGATTCTCAGCCTATTTTTATCTGTAATCTTGAGATGTGTTGCCTTTCCACAGCAGATTGATGGATTGTGTTTTCTAAATCAGTCTACTAGCCTCAGGCTTTTAATGCCTGTGTTCAGTCCATTACTATTCAGAGTTGTTGCCTCCATCTGTGGACTCTGTGATGTTATCTTATACCTTTTGTGTTGAGTGTTTTCCTACCTCCCTTTCTTATCAATATTCCGTGTGCATGTGTATGTTTCATTCGTGACTTCTTTCCACCCTTAAGGCAATGCTATCTTGGGGTATGTTTTCTCTTTGTTGCCCCCTGGGTGAGGTTGTTCTATGTGGTGGTCTCTTATTTATGCTTGTTGAGTGTTGTTCTTCTGCCCATACTGGGTGGGCAAGCATCTTTTGTAGGGCTGGGTTCCTTCTAATGTAATCTTTGAGGTTTTCCTTGTCTGGGAAGACTTTTACTTCTCCATCTATTTGGCTGGATAGAGTATCCTTATGTGATATATTATAAGTCTTGACCCTATGGCTGGGAACATAATCACATTTTAGGGATATTCTCTACTATACTAATAGACAGAATTATGGCAGAATTAATATCTGACTTTAGTAGAGGATAAGAACCAAGTCAAATCCTTTGTGGTCCTTGGGGATATCATTGGATGCTACCTTATAGAGGGTGTGAACCAACTCACACCCTTTATTTCTTTTGTGGCATCTTTAACATTACTAGAGGGTGTGATTTAAGACACTATATTTTTGTTTCCTTAGATGGGGTAAAAACCGTGCTGTCACTGTACAGTTCTGCCCCATATCACCTGAAAAGCCATACCTCTATTTCCTGGCTGACCATTGGTAGATGCAAGAGGATGTGCTGTGACTTTTGGACATTGTTTACTCCTGGCTCTGGAGCCTGCATTTTGTCTCCGTTTGACCTTCAGATTTTCACCAAACAACAGGTACAACCAAGTAGAACAATTTCTTGAAGGTTTTTTTGTTTGTTTTTTTTGGGGGGGGGGTGTTACAGTGAATCTCAGAACTCAGGGATGTGAGGGAATGCACTCAAGATATTGGGAGGAAATGGAGTGAAATAACATCTTGGAAGAGTTGGTCATATTTGGGACATCTTTAATCTCCAGCTCTTCGGGATTAGTCTGATATTTTTCTAAAAGAAATTATTACCACAACTTGTTTCATAAAAGGTTTACAGTTTTATCTAAGTAGAGGATTTTTCTTTGCTTTCTATAGCTCTCACTCTTCACCTTCCCTTCACACAGGACACTATCAAGCTCTCAAATGGGAATACATGAGCACACTTAACTCAGTGTAAAGAAAACAAATTCTTCACAGCTGGACCAATAAACAATACCATGATAAATAAAGAAAAGATAAAAGTTGTCAAGGATGCCAGTTTCCTTGGATCAATAATCAATGTTCATGGAAACAGCAGCCAGGAATCAAATGATATATTACATTGGACAAATCAACTGCCCCAAACTGCCTTAACGTGTGAAAGAAGCAACTGAAATGCACTTGACCCAAGTTGTGTTATTTTCCATGACTTAATATGAATGTGAAAGTGGGACAATGAATAAAGACAGCTAAAGAGCATGTATTTGAATTATGTTGTTGGTGAAGAATACTGAAAATACCATGGAAACATACCTGTCTTGTAATAGCATAACAAGAATGATCCTTAAAAGCAAGGGTGATGATCCTTTGTCTCACTTATTTTGGATATATCTTCAGGGGAGCTCAGTTCCTGAAAAAGAGTTTCACACCTTTTAAAGTTAAAGGTTACTAAAAAGGGGGAAGATCATCAAGGAGATGAATAAACATAGTGCCTGCAACAACGGCCATAAGCTTAGCAGTGATTGTTAAGGACGCACAGGAACAGATGGTGTTTAGTGCTATTGGGCCATTATGAATCAGAGACAACTCAATGGTACTTAACAACGACAAGCATAAGACATTGTAAATAACATATTCATCTTGAAATGTATTTCTTAAACCTACAGACTTCAAACACTCTTATTATCAAACTACAACTACATCATAGATCTTAATCCAGTATTACTCATTTGAGCCTACTCAATCCATAGTAACAGAAATATCCTAATAATTGTGATTTCAAGCAACTCAAGGTAGATTATTATATTGCAATTTATAACTGAAATATGTAACCAATCAATGAGAGTATGAAAATTCGAATTCAACTTATCTGAATAAATTATTGCTACTTGTTTATTGATGGGTTATTGAATGTTAGCAACCTGTTTTCCTTTACCTTTTCTAAGTAAATTTGTTGTAAATTTATCTAGGACAGCTCTGATATCTGGCCTTCACTGGTCCAAGTTCAGTCCTCGCATTTCAAATTACTTTTTAACTTTTTTTTGTTAGTATATCTGATCATGTCCTACACACAGAGTCCATTAAACATTCATTTAATTCATGGAAGTTGTAGGGTATGAGCAGATTAAGTTGGTCTCTATGGACTGGAGTATGTAAGGGAGATAGAAAGCATCAAGGGCCACACTGATGAAATTCTGCATGTGATATCACAAACCTCCACTGGGGTTAGCAGTCCAAGCATAAATATCCCTCCCAGAAGAAAAACACTGATACTGGAGGTTGGGCTTCACCTGGGCTCTTGAATAATAGACTTAAAGGTAAACTGAATTTTTGTATTCTGAAGCATAGATGAAATAAACTTGAGAATTTTAAAAAGAAGCAAAAGAAACCATTAAACAAGTAGCAGTTAGAAAATATCTTTAATCTATGAGTATCATATACTGGTAAAACTCTAGTTTGACTTATAATACTCTTCTAACAACTTTACATGAGACAATAATGTTTATCCTGACCTGAGAGGACACTGTTAGGAATATGTACAAGGTAAGGGAAGTAGGTATAAATGAGACCATGAAAAATGGGTGTTACCAGTGGATAAAAAACAAATATCTTGATTCCCTCTTTTCAAGAGAGCTTGATATCACCTATTTTTATCCATTTTGGAACAGACAAGTCTTAATCAAAATTCCAGTGACTCTTTCATAGATCATACACTCATTACTTGCTTATGTATGCATAACCATCTCACTTACAGAGAGCATATTTTTTCCGAAAGTGCAAATGAATCATATGTGATGTAATGTCTAACAATCTTCTGTATCTTTATAGAATTCTTCCTAATCTATTCCCTGCAAATTTTATCCAAGGTCACCATCATTTTACTTATGTCCTTCATTTCACTCATACATATTTCCTTTCTATTTTTGAAGTATGTTATGTGCTTTCCAATAGAGGTCAATCTCATTCTCTACCCTTTCAGTGGATTTCAGTTATTTACATATTTACCTCTTCATTCTTATTCACCATCTTCATTCAATGAATACTTTTAAACACCTATGTGTGTTTTCCCAGGATGTCTTAAAGAAGATGCATGTTAATGGCTTGTTAGTAACTACTAGTATATTTCTATTTTGACGTTAGGTCAATAGCCTGTACAGTATATTAGTAATTGTAACTTTAGTCAAAATTACTGAGAGCATTTTATTTCTCAGGAATTTCTAAATGGCAATCAAATGTGATCGTGTCCTGATTATGATGGTCAAAGTGGTAATGCTGTTTTAATATTTTACTTAGAGTTTTTGTTTCCTTTTGGTATTATCCAAGTACTACAATTTTTTTTAGTTCTCATAATTTTGTTTATGCTAACACTCGCTTATATAATGCATAAGTGAATGACATGTTGGACTAAGTTTTCATTCTAGAGAACATATATACTATGCAAGTAATATTTTAAAGTCATTGAAAGTCATTTTAGAAACTTAAGTCTTTTGAATTAACAAGATGAAATCATCCAGATATAAATTTAAAATGCAAATGACTATTAAAATCATGCCAAATTGCAGTTATAGGAGCAAATTCATAGATACATCAACTTTGCTAGAAACTAAGAATAAAGTGGTGAGTTATAGTCACTGATATATATCTAAATAACACTAAATGCATTTCTGATGTTTTAGAAAATAAGACATTGATGTATGGTTACTGGAATTGGCTGTCTTATTTGGTTTTTCTACAGAGGATCCACATCTAAGAGGCTGCTGTGAATTGGAGACTGCATTTTTCCATGCCTCAGTCTAATGCCACATTTCAACCGGCTGTCTTCATCCTTACTGGCCTCAGAGGGTTGGGGGGTGCACGCCTGTGGCTGGGCCCACTTTTTAGTTTGATGTACATCACTACAATGGTGGGGAACTTCATAGTGTTATACTTGGTGAAGAATGAACGCAGTCTACAGGAGCCCCAGTACTTTTTCTTGTCCATGTTGGCTGGAGCTGACATCATGCTGTCTGTTTCCACACTTCTTTCTGTGCTCAAGGTCTTTATCCTTGGCCTCTGTGAAATTGCATTCAATGATTGCCTTAGCCAACTTTTCTTCATTCATACATTCTCTTCCATGGGTTCAGGAATTCTGTTGGCCATGGCTTTTGACCGTTATATGGCTATCAGTCACCCCTTACAATATACCTCCATCCTCACTGACTCATGCATTACCAAAATGGGACTGATTGCTCTTATGAGGGGTGTAGCTCTCATGATTCCACTCCCTATCTTGCTTAAGAGACTTCCTTTTTGCAAGGGACAGACACTTTCCTATTCCTACTGCATCCACCCAGATGTCATGAAGTTAGCTTGTGGCCAAGTCAAAATTAATATTTTGTATGGGATGGTTCTAGTTATCTGTTCCTTTGGATTTGACTTCTTATTTATAGTCATTTCCTATGTGATGATATTCCAAGCAGTACTGAACATCGCATCCAGAGAAGGCCAGATGAAGGCACTCAACACTTGTTTTTCCCACATCTTTATTGTCCTTATTTATTATGGACCTCACCTAGCAGTAACTGTGATGCATCGAATCACTCACAGAAGTTCTCCATTAACACTTGCTGTCCTGGGAAATATTTACCTCTTCATGCCACCAATGCTCAACCCAATTGTGTACAGCCTGAAGACAAAACAAATCCGTGAAGCCCTAAGAAAATCTTTGAAAATCCAAAGAAAATGAAAAATTAGTGTATTGAATGGTCACAGAAAAATGGGCATCTCAATTCTATAGTTTATTAGAAAAAACTAAACTTCATAATTCTAGAGTGAATGAGAGTCAATTTATTGTAATACATAATTCTTAAAGTGAATAAAATAATTGTCATATTTTGAAATATTATCTGCTTCCACTTGCCATATGTTTCTGATATTTCCTGAGGTGGAGGCTTGAAACAGATAATAGATACAGGAAACTATAGTTTAATAAATGCTTTTTACTAAATGCTATAACTTTATGAGAAAATTCTATTTTGTTTCTGAATTTAATTTATTGTTAGAAATTTCGTGCTTTTGAGAAAAGTTTTAGGAGCTCAATTGCTCTTCTGCCATCATTCAATTTATTAATTAATTTTCCTGCTTAAAATGCACACTCATATTTTAGAAAATTGTCCATCTTTTTCCCTTGGATGGAAATTTTATAAGCATGCAGACATTTACTTATCACCTATTTTAATCACAATAACTATCAGTATTTGAGTTATATTAAAAATAAATTATTTAATATCCATGTATTGAAATTTATAGTTTCACTCTAAGAGGCTTTTAAAAATTCAGAAGCTCGAGAAAGATATGCAACCTAGATATCACCTTCGAATATTTCACTTAAATGAATTTCACCCTGAAAATAACTCTTTCTTTTCTCCCCAAAATGTTTCATGTAGGTAAAGTTTCTAAGTAAATGCTGATTTTCAAACTCTACTTATTATTGTGTAAATTGACAAACTATATTGTCGCTATAAAGAGCAGCCTTGGGGGCATAGTGGGTTATGGATTGGGCAGCTAATCATGAGGTCTGCAGTTAGAAACTAAGAGCGCCTCCTTGGAGAAAGACAAAGAGTTCCAGTCTTGGAAAGCCACAGCAGCAGTGCCACAGTGTCCTAAACTGTTGCTCTGAGTCAGAAGCTATTTGATGTCAGTAAGGCTGAATTTGAGATTTTTATAATCACTATAGGTTTCCTTACCTTTTCCAATATTTATACAAATTTCATTTGAGCTAGCTCATCTCTAAACATGTAATTGAAACTTCACCTGTGTTCCTGTTACTCTGCTGTAACAGCCTGATTTCATAGTTCAACCCTAAGTGAAGCTATCAATCTTTTTGATGCTAAAGTTCTTTTTAAATGCAAGGCAATCCTGTTGCATTCAGAGTGACTACTCATTCATTATGCTATTCATTTACAGTTCTGAGGCAGTATGTAAGAGTCTTCTTTATTTAACAGTCTTATGGTTAATCTGGGGTGAAGCCTTGGAGGTTAAGAATACCTCTTAATGGAAAGTTCCAACCCACTAGGGTTTCCATGGGAGCAAGATCTAGCAGTCTATTTTGGTAAATACTTACAGTCTTGGAAACCTTGCGGGATAGCTCTGTGCTATCCTATATGGTCACCATGAGCTGCAATATACTCCATAGTAATAGCTTTGTGTATTTTTTATAGTAAATCTAATTCTGACCACCACATTTTTGCCTTGCAAATGACAGCAATTTCTCTGAATATGTCAAACCATTGTAAAATTCAAATTCTTCTGGTATACAAGGGGTGACCCCCCCCTAAAAAGAAACCCAGATTTTTAAATGTATCTAATTTATTATTATTATTATCCATCACCTGACTATATTGACAAGATTCTGATTGTTTAGATGTTGAAGAAAACATTCAATACAAAATACAGGAAAAAGTTGGTTCCATCCCTCTCCCAACCACTCCCTTACCCACCTCCTACTTCCCAATTACTCATCATTGTGATTTGGTCCAAACAAGGCTTAGGTCCCTTTTTTTTTTTTTTTTTAACCAAACAAACTTATCACCTTCAAAGTTCTATTACACTTAATACATTTTTCAAATCTGAGATTCCATTCTTGGAAACATTTTTCAACTCATCTGTTTGGGTGGCTGGAAGCACCTCCCTCGTTTTTTCCTTCTCCTCTTCTACACGGTCAAATCTCTGTTCTTTCATGTCCCTTTTCATTTGCAGAAACAAAGAAGTCACGCAGAGTGAGTCAGGAGCGAGGGGCAAGAGACACATACTGTTTTTGTGCCCCAAACTGGCACACTGAGATGGCTGCGTGAGCAGGTGCATTGTCGTGGTCGCAAAATCAGTCTCCTGTTGGTCACAAATCAGGCCCTTTTTGTTGCACATTTATGCAATCTTTTCAGACCCTCTAAATAGAAAGCTTGATTAATAGTCTGACTCCAAATGCACTACTAGTGGACATTTTCATCCATTCCGGAAGTTGACAGACGTCCAGAATGAGATTTGTCATCAATCAACATTGTACCTTTTTTTTGAAACAAGAAAACCACTCATACATGAGTTTTTGCTTTAGCGCTGTCCTTGTAAGCTGCGTTCAACGTCACAACAGTTTCTGTGGAAATTTTCTGAGCAGGAAACAAAATTTCACGGCTGCACGCTGTTCCCTGAATCAGCCATGACAAGAAAATGAGGTAGAGCGAAATTGCTTTTATGAAAACTATTCACTGTGACCAATGACCCTTCCCTGGACACCCACTGAGTGCACTAACTCAGAGTGAGTTGCTTGCTGCGCCCCAGCAGGAAAAATGAGTACTAAGAACGCTCTGCCCAGAGGAGCTTTTCTCCTTCTTTTTTTGGGTGGGGGCGGTGTGTAGCCCCTCGTATGCCATTTTCTGCTTGAAATGTGCTGGGCATTATTTTATGAGATATTTTTATTAAAATCTAGGTTAAAAATAACTTTCTATGCAAAGATTTCCTAAATTCTAATATACCAAAGATTCCACATAAAATCCTGACTAAGCTTTTATTATAATGGAAATGATCCATAAAATCTTAATTGAGTGCTTAACTAATATCTGAGAGCAACATTATTTATAACTACAGCATGAACCTGACAGGCTGGGTGATCAGGTCACACTCTGTGACTGCCAGTGAGGCTGATAACGAAATACATGTCTGTAATTTTTGTGTGCAGTGTTTCAGTAAAAATTCCCCCGACTCTGTCCAGGACTTTCCTATGTTGATCTCTTTCAGAGCAGTGAATAGAGGTAGCCAGGCACCACCATGTAGTTCCCAGGTCTCCGGGTCATAGATGCTGATGTTTGCATGGCTCCTTAGCCCATTGAACTAATTGTTTCCATGATTGTTTATCTTCTTTACTTTTATTTCCTCCACACTGGGAAAGACCAGTAATTGAACCCTAGATAACTGCTCTCAAGCTTTTAAGAACCAAGGTACAACTCAACAGAGCAAAACCTTGTCTGTTGGGACTACATTTTGTAAAATGAACTTTGTGTTCCCAGACCCCATGGCTGGAGCACCCAGGTCTAGCAATTCACTGTGTCTGGTTATGTCTAAAATGTTTCCTTGTCATTGGCTTCTGTACGCTCCACCACATTTATGAATATACTCATGCAAATATAAATACGCATGTACAAATATTCACTGTCATATGTATACATGTTTGTAGATATATTTTGGGGCTTTTTTTTAAGAACATCCCCCTCCCCTGACCCCATGGTTATATCACTTTTACAATGAGTTGTGTCATCACCATACGTTCTAATGTTAAAGCACTGAGGAGAGGTTTTGTATAGTTGGAAATAAGGTAGGAAAATAGGTAGGGGTTAATAAAACCTTGAAAGCTTTCAAAATTATGTTAATAATTTGACTTCTCACTACATTTGTAATGATGACTGCAGATGTAACATTAGATCTTTCACCATATATGTAAGCATCTTCTGGATAATTGATAACTGCATAATTTCTTATGCATAATGCACAAAAGGGGAGAAGAAATCAAAGAAAAACAATATTTTAGAAAGATCCCTTACATAACATGGTTTGAATTACATTCAAAGCTAAAATATCTGTCTTCTTGTCACCTCGGCAATAAATAACTCACCAATTCTCACAAAAACATACCCTGAAATAACACCAGAGTTTTCAGACGGAAGACAAAAGTGAAAGAATTAGGGCATCTTTTTCATTAAAGCCATATTTGAATACTTCAGTAAATCTTCCCTGACATTGAATATAGTCTGCAATACTGACCTTATCTATTTGGTTTTTAGGCTATAAACCAAAGGGTTAAGAACAGAGGTCAAGAAGAGGGAGAAGGGAAGATGTAACTGTGTCAGATCTATGCAATAAGGCCAACACAATGAGAGGAACATAAAAGATGAAGACAGGAAAGATGTGGGAAACACTAGTATTAAGTGCCTTGATCTGACCATCGTTTGAGGCAATACTGAGCACCATTTTAAAAATCAAAATGTATTAAATTATAATGAACGTAGCATGAACTCCAAAGAAGTAAAGGACAATGAACAACCCATAGATTACATTGAGTCTGACAGGGTCACAGGCTAACGTTATACTATCAGGGTGATAGCAGTAACAATGGGATAAAATGATCCCCTTGCAGAAAGGCAATCACTTGAGAAGGATTGGAAAACTGAACATTAAAGCCACACCCCTAGCCACAGCCACAAGTCCCATCGCAGTAATTCTAGCAGGGGTTAAGATCACAGTGTAGTGCAGCGGTCGCGAATAGCTACAAAACGATCAAAGGCCATGGCCAACAGAATGGCTGATTCCATGGATGAAAAAGCATGTATGAAAAACATCTGTGTCAGGCAAGAGTCGAATTCAATTTCTCTGTGGTTCGGAAGGAAGACATTAAGTACTGTGGGCAGAGTTGATAATGATGGACCCACATCTGTAGCTGCAAGCGTAGACAGAAAGATATACTGAGCTCATGCAGGCTGGTGGTGGTTTTGATAACAAAGAGGATGGTACAGTTCCCTAGCAGGACAATGAGGTACATGGCACCCAGTGGAATCGAGATCCATACTTATACAGCCTCCAGACCAGCGATGCCTCTTAGAAGGAGAGTTGGTGGCTGAAACCAACTATTATTAATTACTCCCAAGAGGATATTTCTTGGGATTTTGCCCAAGTTAGTTTCCAGATGCTCCTGTTTGGAGA